GGCGAGGTGTGATGTGCCTCAGGAAGCGGGAAATAAGGCCCTGAATAACGCGAAACGCTCGCGCAGAGGTGGGTGAGCCGGCTGGCTCGTCCTGCTCCCTGCCTACCTGCCAGGCCGCACGATCTCCCCGGGCCGGGCTGAGCCGACCGGCTCCTGAGGTTGGAAAACTGAGACACAGAGGGGACTGACTCATGTTCACATTCTGTCCACAATAGCCCACACAGAAACAACCTGCTTATCCTCCTGATCCTCTAGAACAGAGCCCAAACTTGTGCAGGGCTTCCAAAGGAAACACAAACCACTGGCTGCAGGACGTGGCTACCCGCTCTGCTTGACTACACTTGAAAAAAATCCTACTGGTGCCTCCCTGCCCCATTAGGTGCTTAGATATCTTTAGGATTTTCATCTTTAGCCTTTTGTGCCTCATAGACCCCCGCTGTTAAACGGACATCATAATCTTCCCAAAAGGGCACAAGAGAATAAACATATTTATTAAAGAATGTGGGACTGAAACAGTGGGTTAATGGGAGCCACTTAGATAAATAATGTAGTCAGCTAATAGGTGAAAGAGAATAATAATTTACAGGCTGAGAAGAGGAACGGAACACGGGTCCTGATCTCAGAGTTAATTCTGTTTCCGCACGGCCATACAAAGCAGGGAGAGCCCACGAGGAGCAGTGTGTAAACCTGAAACCAAGCTTGTTTCTGCAGCTGGATGGAGTCAAGCACAGCACTGCACTAGCACAGAGAAAAATAGATTTCACAGTTTCATAGCTCGGGGCTGATTTTCCCTCGGGGAGTGAAAATAGGGCATCTCACCACCTCCTGCCACTGCTCCGGTCCTGCGCACCCCAGCCACGCACCAAACGCGGCGAAACGCCAGGGCACGTAACCAAGCGGGGGCAAAACTCATACCCCATGGGGCCTTGAATGGGGATTAGCAACACCGGAACATTTAAAATGCAACATCCTTTTTGATACAAGCCTAACTTTGAGCGTAAAATGGCATTTTTTTCTCCACCAAATTGTTCAAATTGCAGCATCATAAAGCTCGATAAGGACTTCAGATAAGGGATGCACAAATCCCGGGAGCTTCTGCCTGGTTTCTGGCTCCAGCACATGTGAAAGGGCAGCCTAGAGCTCTGTGGCTCAGCAAAGGGCCCTTTGAGCTGATGGGACAAGATGTTGCTGTAGCAGTGGGTTATTTTAACTGACACACAGCTGTGCTGCAGTACCCGCCACTGTCATGCCAGCCTCAAGAAGAAGGAAAAAAATATATCTGTGTCTACTTCCCGAGCAGAGGAAGGCCAAGAAACGGGGCTCCATGTGCCCACCATGCGCATGGGCTCAGCTCAGCACAGCACCAGGGCCAGGCCTTGCCAGGCGAACGGCTGCCGTGGGCAGCACAGAGACAAGAGCCAAGTCCCAGAGCTGCCGCCTAATGGGAGGTGGATTGAGAGGTGTTTAAAACAGTGTATTTGTTCCTAGCTGCGCCACAAAAACCATCAAGTGAGCGGGAAGGGAGCAAAGAAAATGGCTTTGATTAAATGGAGCTCTTTGGATTGAGCTGGGCTTCTTTAATGAGATGCCTTTCCCCAGTTTTATTGAGGATTGGACTCATGAGGCCTCTTGACCAGAAGGAGTCTTAAGCTTTCAGTAACTCCTGCAGCTACCAACAAGTACTTGTGTTTTAGTTTGCCCAGGAGAGACACTTACTGGTATTTAAAACACACCTCTCTCCTCCAGAAGTCTCTTTTTACATTTTCTTATCTGTATATCAAGGAACAGAAGTTGAAACAGGCATCAAATTGATATTGAGCACCAAAACCTGAGCTTGGCCTGGGCAGATGTGCCAGGCGTCCCGTGGGAGAGCAAACCAGGCACCACAGGGCCACGCGCGGCAGGAGGTGACGCGGGGCTGGCCTGTCGTCCCCAGGCCTTCCCTCATCCAGCGCTGGCTCCGAGCATGTCTCCATCAGCCCCCGGGCACATCTTGGCGCCTGCATCCCCGCACGGAGCTGCCCGTGCCCGAGGCGCAGGTGCCAGCTCTGCCGGCGGGCGCTCGCGCCGGCTCTCGGGCAGGTGTAAATCAGGGCTTATTCTGCCGCAGTCAGTGGAATAGCGCCTGATTTACAACATCCTACATAAGAGGAGAACTTGACCTTACACTTCAACATCGGCGCAGCTTCCTTTGTTGAAAGCTTCTTAAGCAAGACATGTAATCAATCCCAGAGAGCCGCAGAGCGGCAGCGCGCGGGCTTGGGGCTGCCTAAGTCGAGGCTCAGCTTCCTGGGGAAATTGCCTGATGCAGCCTCCCCTGACATCTATTCCTAGGAGCTCACTGGATTTTCTTTCTTTTTACAGGAATGAGTGCTTCTCTCTTTTCGCTTCATGCAATATGGACAGATTAATAGCATACACAAAAAGGATTTTTTTCTGGAGTGACTGCAGAGGTCTGAAGTCTTTCTTACCTATGGCACTAACCTTTCAGACAGACAAGCTCTTAGTGAGCTCAGGTCTTTGGAAAGTCTGGCCTTTATGGGCATTTGGTGTTATTTTAGAACCAGAGAGGAAAAACCTTACTGGCTTGCCTCTGTTTTCATGGCCGTAATTACAAGGGCAGCCTGGTGACGTAACCTGTTTGGGAAATAAATGATAGCTTTCAACAGCGAGTGCTCACAGACACTTCATCCCTTGTAGCTATTTTAGAAATCTTAAGACGTTTTGCACCTCCACAGCACCAACTGCTGCTCTTATTTACGCTGTGTAAACCCTGTGCTGCACAACTGCCTGCAGCAGAGGGGCCCCGTGTTTGCGCTGGCCAGCGCGGCACCAACACTGGCTCACGGCGTGGGGCTCCGTACGCCTTGTGGCCTGACCTGCTGGTCCAGTAAATGCAAGGGGTGACCTGTGCTGACATATTTAGCCCTAATTCTCGCCCTAGCTGGAACTATTTACCTTGGTGAGGAGGGGACCACAAAAGCAAGAGTAGCATCAGCCCTCTGGCATCTTCACGCTTTAAATAGAAGAACACAGAAAAACATGGTAGGTACAGAACAAGGTGCTTTTTGCAGAATAAAACGATTTGTTGTGATCAGGTATTAGCTGACCCGAACGCAGTGCCGGTACTGGAGGAGCTGCACTGCTGTGTGGTGACGTTGCACCTCTGTCCCTACGTGTCTCCCTGCACCGGTTGTGGGCACAACCCTCCTGTGCGCTGACGTGAGGGGGAAGAGCTCAGCCCTGGGGCTGGACCCTGAGCAGGGCCTTTGCCATCGGTCTTGCCTGGAAACCCCCGCAGGGAAGTGCTTCAGAGCCAGGAGTCGTAAGCACGGCCAGAGACGCCACGGTGACAACGATCCTTAGCCCTTTTCCCCTTCCAAGGGCTCTACAGGCTCTGCATGACACCCCTCTGAGGTGAAATCATATTATTGCTTCCACTTAAGGCAGAAGAGGAGGAGGTATGGAGAGGTGGAAAGATCTACCAGCTCAACAGCCAGACAAAAGAAGTAGAAACAGGTGCCCACACCATCTATGGGTGAGATGACCCCTTTTTCATGAATTCTGTGGGAAAGCGCTGGCTATTGAAGACATTCCCCCACAGTGTTTGGAGCTGAAACCCCACAGAACCAAAAGGTTGAGAGTTTCTTTGACAAAAAGAGAAAGAAAACACAGAATGAAAACAGAATGGTCATATTATGTTTATGAATGAGTGAAACGCATGCGTGTCGCAGCCTTCACAGCTTCCACGGCCAGCTGAGCTCAGCGCGATCCTCAGTGCAGCCTTCGTGCCCCTCGCCGCCAGCCGGGGAGAGCAGCCCGACTCCGGCTGGGACAGAGGTGACGTCTCCTGTCCGCTCGGGCACCCACAGCACCCGCTGGGCTAGATCCTGGCTACCCCTGTCCCCTCACAGGGTGTTTTCTGCTATCTAGCTCTGGGGAAAAAGGCTCTAGAGAGAAAGAACTTATTCCATGACGGAGGCAAACTCACCACATCTCTCCCTGTCCAGCAGGGAGCCATCTGGGCACTGTTGTCCCAGGGGCATTTTCTCCAGTTTGCCATGGCCACAGTGCTCCTTGCAAAGATGCTCACATTGAAGGACAACACCAGACACCTGCACAAGTCTCCTAGAAAAGAAGGATTCTTTCCAGCTCTGCTTAAATTCTTGCCAGCCCTCCCTCTACCTCCTGATGCAGAGCAGGTGCCAGCTCTCCCATCACACCATTCCCAGGTTGAATGAGTTAAGCAGCTGCTTCCACAGTCCTCACAATTGCTAAATGAGTGGATGTGGCACCGCAAAATGACCTGAACAGCCCCTCTTCTCTTCCTCACACAGGGCAACGCTTTAGTTTCTATTGTGTCATATCCATCTATATAGATATTTACATTTGGAAATAAGAAGTTGTCAAAAAGTAACTTGGAAACGTTGATTGTTACATTTCTGAACAAGAATTGTCACCTATATGCAGAAGCAGAGATGAATTTGCTTATGTTCATCTATAATTATGCTAGCAAAAAGGACCTAAAAAACTCTGTCCTAAATTTTTCCTCTAGCCCTTTTCTTCCAGAAATAGCATACACATTTGTACATGTTATTAGATTGACGCTGTAGCATCCTGGACAAATCAAATTATTTCAAATAGGTGCAGGTACAAAATGTCATAGCTCTGAAATGAACACATAAAATATATTCAATTTTCCCCTGGCAGTTTATTATGGTATGAAGAAAAAAACATTCTGTGCTTGAAGCCGACATTATATTACAAATGTATTGCGAAGTATGACGTGACTATTAAAATATGATTACACAAAGTATGAACATTTTAAGAAGTTTACAGTACAGTGAATCTTTTATAAACAGACTCTTAAATATACATAGGACAATAGTAGCTGACAGAAAAACATCAAAAATTAACTATTAATGTTTATAGACTTTTCCCCTGAAAAAAAGTCTCACATTAAAACAGAAATTATGAAAAGCCTTAAAACCAGGAACAAATCACCTGTACACTACAAATTTACATGGCAGAGGTGTGCACACCAGGACTACCCTTCCGCTGGGGGATGCAGTCGCCGGGAGGCCTCGGCAGTGCCCGAGCGGTGTTTCCTCCTTGGGGTACCCCGTTTCCCGCAGCGCACGGCCCCGGCGGTGCAATGCACACACACACACACACGCGTACGTGGCACAAGCTGTAACATCAGGAGCAAATCCTGCTGCAGGACGGTCTGCCCGACGTTCTGGAGTGCGTCGGGACCAGAACTTGCCTGCGGTCCTGCAAACGGGGCTCTGCGCAGACCCCCGAGTGCGACGGCCCTGGCGGGACCCACCAACCACAAGCAGTTTGCAAGACTGAGGCTGTGAGGCAAAAAAACAGCGTTTTCTTATTGAACATATTTTTAATGCAACTCCTCAGTTTTTCCTCTTGATATCGGAGAACAGAAGGACACATCTGATTTCTGCTTAGTCTGGCTGCAATGACACCTCTAGCTCATGTGTTAAGTTATGTCAAAAACATAAGTATTTTATGCTGTAATACACAGTATTACTGAAACTAACAATATTATTTGCATATTTATAACAAGGTATAATGAAATCCCTATAATAAAACCAAAAGTTATGCTATAGATTTATTTACAAACAGTCCAGCAAAGAAGTATAAATACTTCCATATTTAAGTCTTAGGAAAACATAATTTACAAAATATTCAAATATATACAGTCATCTGAAAAACTGCCAATATTAAACTTTGATGCAGGCAAAGAATTGGCTGAGTCCATTCATTCTGTATTGAAAGAAGTGGCCGATTTCATGGTTGTCTCTTACTTCTAAAAGTCAAACTCGTGTTATTTACGACGAGACCCCTTCTCTCCGCTAAACATGCCCGGAGCTCTGAGTGTGCTGTCCCAAAATGTCGTCTATCATCGTCAAATTGTTCAACCACTCCTCGTCGTTGCTGCTGCTGCTCTTCATGAGGGAGTCGAGGAAGTC